TCATTCTTTAAAAATTGTGGTGATGGTGACTTTACTTTCTCTAGAAGTTACGAATACAAGATCACTGTCCACCTTTCTGCCTCTTTGACCCCTATGAATGGAAGGAAGTAGCTAGCATTTATGGGTCAACTAGGTGTTCCAGGAACAACATATGTGGTTCATTCATCTTCACATCCACCCTGGCAGTCAGGTGATACTCCCTGACGAACTCCGGTGTAGAATGGTGGTTCCTTTTGCAAGGTCACAGTTTCAGAAGTGGGTTTTGGATTAGGTCTGGCTGACTCCAAAGCCCATGATATTTGTTTTCTTTTACCATTATGTTTAAGAAAGGATTGAGAATCAAGAGAACTGTTAGGTTAACCCTGATCCTTCCTTGCTCAGTGTGTGGCATGAGCTCTTGGCACCTCAGTTTCCTCACTGGTAACATGAGGGGTGATTGGATTATCACCGAGGTTCATCTGGCTCTGAAATTCTGTGATTCTGTGGGTGACCTCTGAGTGGGGTTCGACAAGACAGTTGGATAGACAGAATTTTCCTCACGTGGGGTCTCTCTCACTTCTCCCCTCCTCCCATTCCTGAATCTATCCTCTCTCAGGCCTCTCTCCCATCCCTCCTTTCCTCTTCTTCATCACCCTCCCTTTTTAAAATCTCCCTTATTTATTTTCTTCTATCCTTATTGTCCATACTCATTCCCTTGGCCCTTTACTATTTCCATAGTCATCTATTTTAATGTATTTAACATAGGTGTTTTGTGTGTGGTGTTGTTTGGGTTTTATTTTGTGTTTACTTTTTATAATAGGAAATTGCAAATAAATATACAAATAGAATAATGTACCAACTTCCCATAAGCACTAATTGTTCAATGTAGACCACCTCAGTCCCCCTCTCTCCCTCCATGTTATTTCAAAGCAAATCCTAGACATCTTATTAATGTACGTATTTTTCATTTATGTGTTTAAAATTTTTTTTCATTGCTGTTTGACCCGTAGGTATTTTTAATACATATATAACGTGTTCGATGTCTCCTTCAGTATCATGTTAAAATCTGTCCCTGCGGCTCAGTGCTCACCTCTTCCTGCGCTTCTAATTGCTCTCCTCCTTTCTCCTTTTCTTTCCCTGCCCCTCTCTCCTATGTGAGCCTGACCCTTCATTCTAGCTGAGCACCTTTGAGGAGTCCAGTTTACTCTAAAATGGCCCTGGGCTGCTGGCTGTGAAGAACTGCCAGGAATTACATAGAGTTTTATTTAGAATGCCTCCCTGCCAAGTATGTGCACTCAGATAGGACTGGAAGCATGTCCATTTTTAACCTCTGCCCATCCCTTACATTCTTCTCTGTCAGGCTACTCTTTAGTGCCTTATTCCTGTCCTGCTGCTCCCAGTTACTGAGTGTTTCCCAGAGCAAAGGTGATCTTTTGTGGGTCTGCTTTCCTGAATCCCTGGGGAAAGCTAAAGCAGGAAATGCTTCCCACTGTCCCTCTGCAAGCAACCCTTGGTGACAAGAGAACAGGGGAGCAGAGGCAGAAAGCAGGACCATCTAAGGAAATTGTGCAGAGAAACCTAGATTATATGTCCCAGTCCCCTCATTTATATAGGAGGAAACAGGTCCAGAGATGCCAAAGTCACACAGTGAACCTATGTCAAGGGCAGGAAAGTCTATATCTCGTAGTTCCCAGTCTGACATTCTTGCTGCCAGAGTAAGTGTGGAAGGCCACCACACCTCGCCTTAAAATGGAGAATGCTTTCCTGGCCTAGGTTCAGAATGAACAGCATGGACACGGCTGTTGTTAGCTATCATTTGACTGGGGTATGCGGATGTCAGTGAGGTATATCTAAGGGAATGTTTATAAAACATCCGTAAACGAATACTCCTTCTCCTCACTAATCAACTATTTTGTTATCCAACATTTCACATTTATGACCAGAGGGGAAAAATATATCGTCCAATTATTCTGTACAGTAACGATGTACATCTGGCAGTAACAAATGCCAGTGTGGGATGCAAGAGGAGTGCCGTCGGTGATGTTAAGGTTATGTGTCAATGTGGTTGGGCCATGATTCTCAGTGGGTTGTCAGTCCTATAACTATGTAATTTAGCAATTATCTGGGGCACAGTGGGTTAAATGTTGGGCTACTAACCCAAAATGGAGATGTTTGAATCTATTAGTTACTCCATGGGAGAGAAATGAGGTCGTTTATTTCCATAAAGATCTACAGCCTCGGAAACCCTATGGGCAGTTCTACTGGATTCTATAGGCCTGCCATGAGTCAGAATTGCCTTGACAGCAGTGGGTTTGGTTTCTTGTTGTATTTTGTGTTAGTCGTCCTCCATGTTGTGATCTGATGTGGTCATCCTCCATTTTTCACATAACAACCTGGTCTTTGGAACCTAATCATGTTGATAAAGTAAGGAGAGGATATATTTCTGCTGACTCACTGAAAACAGTGCAGTTCTGACAGAGAGACACAGATGCCATGTAATTTGTGGCTTGGGAGTATTAGACCAAAAAGCATATTAAGTCATAATATAAATTGAAAACTGATTTGACATTTATTCAATCTACAATTTGCAAGTCAGACAGCACTTCTGACTAGAAAGTCACAGGGTTCCAAAGAAAAAAGGCTTTCCAAAGGTTCTTACACCACACCTTATTGACATTGCCATGGAAAAAGACTGGGGAACAGTGTTTACATAATAATAATTCATTTACCCTAAAACACAAAAGAACTCAATGATAAGGGGAGAAGGAGCCCTGGTGGTACAGTGATTAAGCACTTGGCTGCTAACCAAGAAGTCAGCAGTTCGAACCCACCAGCTGCTCCTTGGGAAAACGAACCTTGGAAGCCCTATGGAACAGTTCTGCTCTGTCCTACAAGGTCACTGTGACTCAGAATCCACTGGATGACAATAGGTCAGATAAGGCAAAACAGCTCCCACTAAGCTATTACTAGGCTATTGTTTGACTTAGAACTCAAGTTTAGGACAATTAGGAGATCAGTCTGCTCACGACTCAAGGTTCAAAAAGGTCAACTTTGGGTAATGGCCTGAGTGGGTCACTCCAACTTCATGGATCCCAGGAATCTGGCTTCCAGAAGAGTGTTTCTAAGAAGGCAAACCTGGAATGACTAGCTCAGCTGATTCTCTGAAGATCTGGAAGAAATATTAGAAGTTGGTCGTTTCTTGACTTCCCAGTCACCAGCTCCTTTATATATGTTATGGACTTTTGTTTCCCTGGGTGCTTTCTTGTTGACATGTAGTGATAAGAGTTTGAAACATGACTATACTCTTTCATTTAAGCAAGCTAACAGACTTCACTGTGCCTCAGTTTCTTTTGGGTAAAAATATTTAGAATTCACCTGGTAGGATTATTATAAGGTTTAAATGAGTTATCTTGTGAAAAGCCCACTGAACAGTGTTTGCAGAGTTGAATGCACCATTGTGTGTTTGTTATAATTATTTATAGTTAAAAAAAAAAAAAAAAAAAACAGTTGCCATCAAGTTAACTCTGGGTCATGGCATGTGTTCACAGTAGAACTGCTTCAGAAGGTTTTCATGGTTGTGACGTTTCTGAAGTAGATCGCCAGGTCTCTGATGTAGCCGAGTACTTAACCATCGGTGCTACCCAGGGATTACATTATTCACGTTTGTTGTTTAGGGCTGTCAAGTCAATTCTGGCTCATAGTGACCCTTTATAGGGGTTCCAAGGAGTGGCTAGTGGCTTTGAACCGCCAATGTTGTGGCTCGTGGTCCAATGCTGATCCTACAGCACAGCAGTCCTCATAAACCATGTGATCCTCAGAGCAATCTTATAAAGTAGTAGGGAGAGCTCGATACTCTCTTTGTACGACTAAGGAAACGGAGGCACAGAAAAGGTACACAGTTTTACTAAGATGTCACAGTAAGTGGCAGGTCAGTGTGCTCTGTCCCAGATCTTTGTTCTTCCCACTGTGATGAGCTACTAATCAAAGAGGACAACCTGATCCAGAAGCTGAAATTTCTGCCAGTCCCAACTACTACTGCTACTACTGCATTTATGAATCAGCTCTGTAAAAGCAAGTTAATAGGCATGGTTCCTGCTCGGTGGGTGTTGCTAATCTAGCATGGGAAGAGCCTTTAAGGACAGGCCTTAAATGGGCATACCAGTTACATGCCCAACGTCAATCAGGGTTTCTGTGCCCCGTAAAGGAAGAGACCAAGGGCATGTGGGGCTAACAGGAAGTTGTGCCTCCAGAACTCCCCAGTGGGCTTCCAGGTAGCCCCACCATCTGTGCTAGATCCCTGCTGTGCTCATTGGACTCACTCTTGGGGCTATTTTTTAACTGCAGCTTTAACTCTTTAGGACATTAACTGGTCCCATCTCTAGAGGGGGCGGTGGTGAGCATCATTCTGATCACAGCAAGAGCAGGCAAAAAAAAACAAGCAAACAAACAGAAAAGCATGCAAGTAACCATATTCTTGGAACTCTTTTTCCTCTTAACAATGGGTGGGAACATTTCCCTAGGAGGAATCCCCTCCCTCCCTGGCAGTACTGCCCTCTAGCTCCCCATAAGAACAGGCAGGAAAGGCAAGACACACGAGACCCCCTTCAAGCTCTGCCGGATAAGGTGGGCATCATTCGCACAGTGACTTTGACATGTGCTCTCAGTGCAGAGGACAAACGCACCTGCCGGCTTCCTTCTCGCCCAGTTGGACAGCTCCAGCAGTTGGATTTTGGAGCTAAAATTATAGAAGCCAGACGTCACTTGGGTGTGAGGGCAGAGCCTGGAGCTGCTCTGCAAGGAGGGCACTCAGATCCAGCTATTCTAGTCTTAGGGCCTCTGGTTCTCCTGTCCCTGGAGAAAGAGTGAGAGACAGAAACAGGGAGAGAGAGACAGAGAATATGGATGGGGCCACTGGGGAGCTCAGGAGTCCAAGAGGAGAATGAGAAGGTGCGCTTCAGCAGCAGCTGGGCCCCTGGTTCCACCAGCTACCGGAGGGCCAGGCTGCTGAAGAGGAGGTGAGGATGTGGACTTTCATCATCCAGCTCCTGGTCACGCTAGTGCTCCTGAGCTTTTTCCTGGTCAGCTGTCAGAACGTGATGCACATTGTCAAGGGCTCCCTGTGCTTTGTGCTGAAGCACATCCACCAGGAGCTGGACAAGGAGCTGGGGGAGAGCGAGGGTCTGAGTGATGATGAAGAGACCATCTCCACCAGGGTGGTCCGGCGTCGGGTCTTCTTGAAGGTAAATGCCAGGCAGGCAGGACTGGGCTGGAGGTGGGAACCACCAGGGCCATGGCAAAGGAAGAGTTCTGGGCTGGGCTTTGGGGAGAGTGGGGTAAAGTGCTAGACTCCAAGTCAGGACACATACTGGAAAAGAAGAGCAGAAAGACTTCAGCAGATCAGGCTCTGTGGAGACCCCACACATACACAGCAATGTGTGAGGACAGAGAATGGCAGCTCTGGGCATTAGGAGGCCTATTCTCAACCTGAAGTGTTGGGATGGCAGACCAGTCACATTCAGGGAAACTGTAAACTTTGTAAACCTTGAATTGCTATAGAAATATAAATTAGGTGCCTCACTTTCAGGGCCTCCAAACTCTAGGCTCCATCCTGCCTTCAAGACTCCATTGCAGCCCCTCTGACACTCAGTGAGCCCATTGGTTTGGCTGTCCCTACTTGCTGAGTTGGAGTTTCCCAAGATGATGGGGATTTATTGCTGCTCCTGCTATTTTACTTCCACTCCCTCTTATTCCCAAACTACCACTTACCAACCTCAGATTTTCACCTTTTCTCTAATTCCAGGGGGATGAGCTTCAGAATATTCCAGGGGAGCAGGTGACGGAGGAACAATTCACGGATGAACAAGGAAACATTGTTACCAAGAAGGTGGGTATAGAGAGTCCCCAGGAACCGGGAGAGGCAGGTAGACCGGAAGATGATGGGCATACAGAGCTCACAACTGTTTGCTCCTGCCCCTACAGAGGGCATGTTGTTGTTGTTATTGTTGTTAGGTGTCATCGAGTCGGTACCAACGCATAGCGACCTTATGCACATAAGCATGGCTATTTCTGTCCCCTTTACTGCTCAGTAGGCACAATTCAGGTGCTGACATTCTGGTGTTCTGCAGTCCAGGCATGGTATTCCTCATAGCCTCTTTGCCAGATTCAGCCTGTTGAAATAGCCCCCATGGAACAGCCCAAAGACAGTCCCATGATGCTTATCCCAGAAAACAGAGCTTTACGAGAGCAGTATGGTCATGCTGACCTACCACGTATCTCCTAAAATTAAAAAGAGGTGAAAATCCACGGAATTGATAGCAGACATGATTTTGTCTATAGAGTGTGGGGTCATTCTGCCAGGTATGAGCAAGAGGAAAGACCTTGTGTGCGTGTCCACTGGGATACCATTGCCACTTCTTTAGAAGCAGACCCTCTGTGTTCGTGTTTCCTCCTGCACAGTGTGCTGTTTGCAAGCAGGGACCATGTCTTGTGTATGTTTCATCTCCCCCTCCTAAGACACTGGCAGAATACATGGTAGTTTGAATACTGGGATGAATGAATGAGGGAATGAATGGATTGACTCGCATTACTATTGATGACAAAGAAATGCTCACTGCCTTCAGGAGCTTACAGTCCTAAGGGGAAGATAGATACACAGCATACATAAGCTTTTATACATAGCACAGGGCAGAATGAAATAAGTGCTTTCGCCCAGAGATAGAAGTTACATACACATGTTCAAACCTTGATCCTTAAGCCTTTTAAGGCCTCTCTTCAAATCTATCTTCTCTGTCATTGTCCCTTGTGAGTTTTTTCATAATGTGATGAGGGGTTGGGAGTGGAGGTGGGAGTGGGCCAATCAAGGAAGGACCTCTCAGGACAAAGGCTGCCTTTCCCTTGAATCTCAAGGTGCTGTCTTGATTGTTTGACCAGCCCTTTTTACCTCCTTGTCTCTCTTTTCCAGATTGTTCGCAAAGTTGTTCGGCAGATAGACTCATCTGGTGCCGATGACACCCAGGTGCATGAGGAGGTGATTGTTGAGGGGCCCCTGCAGGATGCTAGTGAGCTGGAAGCTGATCTTGATTCATTTATGAGACATGCCAAGGTACTAACTACTGCAGTGGCACCAGCCTTCTGGAGTCTCTGGCTCTTCTGAGTGGTCCCAACACTGTCAACTTCAGCCAGACCTGCTCCAGCTCACTCTGGGTTTCCCCCTGCACTATGCACTCTCCATTCACCTCCTTTGGCTCCCCCTTGAGCCTCCAGAGCCCTTTTTCATTCTTTCACCTATGCTCCACCTATCTCTCTGTGTGATCTGTCCTGCCTTCTGTCTCTGCTACCATCTCCAGGTGGAGCTGAGAGGGAGTAGCCTACAGCCGGACCTGATAGAGGGCAGGAAAGGGGCTCAGATAGTGAAGAGAGCCAGCCTGAAAAGGGGAAAACAGTGATCCCCAAGCCTCTCTCCCAGGAAAAACCTCTTTAGAGGTAACACCGTCTTTCATCTTTCTCCACCTGCCCTGCATGGCTGGCTGCTCCTGGAAGGCTGCACACCTCCACCCACACCCACATCCTCTTCTCCCAGGAATTCATCCTCTCATCCCCTTTCACCCCTTCCACAGCTCCACTCCCTCAGGCCTGCATGATGTGGGATGGAAACAAGTCCTTACAGCTGGGTCAGGGGAGGAAGAGCACCTTCAGAGCATAGATTCTAATTCACCAACCTACTAACTGTAGCCCTGAGTAGCAAGTTCCTCATCAACAGTCAGTAATCTATTTGACCTACATCTCAGGAAGTACTTGGAAAACATACAGACTTGAGAAAATGCCATGATGAGCAAAAAAAAAAAAAAAAAAAAATGCCCATTATAAATCTAAGTTAGTAACATCTTTGAAAAGAAGCGATTGGGGCTTCAGAGATGAGGGGGACAGGTGCTGGAGAGGATAGTAAAAATCTGTGTAGCCTGGAGCCATGTAGGCCCCCAGAAAGAGCTCCAATGATGAAGATAGGCTTCCAGCTCTCAATTATTTCTTGTGTCTGTTGAACCTGAAACCTACAAGTCTGGATGAGCCCAAGACTTATATTCTCCTTGGTTCTCCTTCAAATATGTTTCTCCTTTGCTTTCTAGGAAAGCGCTAAATTCAACACCATTCTCCCCACAAGTCAGGAGGGTTGGGGTTTAGGAGGTGGTTAGCTGTCATGGGGCATGTGTGCCTAAGCATGGGGGCTTGTGCCGGAAGTGGAAGGTGTGTGGTGCTGGGCCATGAGGGGGCTTCGTGAAGACTCTGCACCCGGCGGATGGTCCTGCAAGCGCCCTGTGCAGTGCCAGGGACTTCATCGGCCAGCTCTGGTCTCTGTCCTCCCTGATGGATCCTGTACTGAGCTGCCCCGAGGCCCTTCATTGTGCCCAGCTCGGGGCAACTCAGTACAGGATGCATCGGGGTGGGAGTCAGCAGGAAGCGAGGAAGCACTGAGGGCCCAGCACAGCACTGGCCGGGCTGTTACCCTTTAAGCCCCCAGGGCCCAGCTCTGGGGCCAAGTCCACACAGACTTCGCCTTTCAGCAGGCCCGCTGCCTCCTGAGCCTCTAGAAGTGCTGACTCTGTCCTTCTGGTCATATCTCAGCACTTGGGCAGAAAGGGGACTGGCGGATCTAGTTATAGTATAAAATTAGACCTGACTCCTCAGCAGCTTAAGTAGGTCACCGGCTTAACCCTCACACTGCCAGGCTGTTGGTTCAGAAAGTTGTGGTGAGCTACTTTCTGGTGCTGGAGATAATGCAAAGGTGCATATAACTAGAGAAGGCAGAGGGTGCCTCATTTTTCTTATGGTAGCAGCCACAACAGCTCTGAAGTTCAGCTTCTATTGGGCTGAGATTCTGCTGATTTTCTTAAACTGGAGAGAGGCAATCAAGAAAATCCAGCCTACAGGGGTTAATTTGCTATAGACAATCTTCAAAGTGGCCAAAGTCCCCACCTGTCATACAGGGAACAGATGACACAAGCGTGGACATGAGGAACACTGAGCAGTCTGGCTCCAGGACAGTCCAGAGACCTCTCTCAATAGGCTAGCAAGGGGCAGTGGTGAAGGGGGCAAATGTGAGGCAGGGCTTCCACCTGTGTCCCTAAGGGTCCAGGGAGCTGCATAAAACCCTCTACCCTCCTAACAACAGCAAAGATTACCCCACTGCTATGGAGTCAACTCTGACTCATAATGACCCCATAGGGCAGAGTAGTAGAGCGACCGATGGGTTTGAACTGCCACCCTTGAGTTTAGTAGCCCCACAGTTAACCCATTACACCACCAGGGTTCCTTGTAACAAAGACTGAGGAATAGTTAACAAATAGCCTGAAGGCTGTCTGATCCTCAATAGCCACTTCCACCACTCCTAAGCAAGAATTGGTTTCAGAGAAAGCGAAAGCTGGGGCTTTGGAGTCTAGACTCAGGTCTGGCTCCCCCTGTTTCTAAGTTGAAAACAAACAAATAAACCAGTTGTCAGGGAATTGCTCCAACTCATGGTGCCTCCATGTGTGTCCGAGTAGAATTATGTACCCCAGGGTTTTCAGTGGCTGATTTTCAGAAGTAGATCGGCAGGCCTTTCATCTGAGGAGCTTCTAGTTAGATTCGAACCACAGTAACTTGGTGTGCACTGTGGGTTAATGTGCCAGACTGAAAAGCTGTTTGAACTGCAAGGTTGGAGGTTCAAGCTCACCAGCTGATCCTTGGAAACCCTACACAGGGTCGCTATGGGTCGGAACCAACTCGATGGCACTTCACAACAACAACACCTTGGTGGTGGTGGTGGTGATTATGTGCTGTGGAGTCAGTTCCAACTCATAGAGACCCTGCCTAGGGTTTCTGAGGCTGTAAATCTTTACCGGAACAGAAAGCCTCATCTTTCTTCTGTAGAATGCCTGGTAGTTTCAAACTGCTGATCTTGAGGTTAGCAGCCTAACTCGTAACCACTATGCTACCAGTGCTCCTTAGACAAAATTTTTAACTACCCTAACTTTAGTCTCCTTAAGGGCAGATGACAATAGTCCCTCCTGAAATGTGTGTTGCTCTTTTTTGAAAAAAAAAAAAAGATTTAAAAATAGTACCTGTAAGAGCTATGGATAAGAGTAAATACGAACATGTATATTCTGGCATTCAATCAATTGCAGATCTCATTTGTAATGTAACCCAAGACAAGTCAATTGATCTCTCAAAGGCTCCAGTTCCTTATTCACACAATAGCAATATGATGATGTTTCTCTTATAGGCTGGTTGTGGTGATCTGCGAGTTTATGTTCGGGAAGGGGCTTTATCAAGTATGAAGTTCTCATCCGCTGTTTCTCAAAGTGTCATCCACAAACCTCCTACATTAGTCATCCAGAAGTTGCATTAAAATGCAAATTCCTAGACTTTGTTCTGGACCCTTAAATTCTGCATTAAACACCTGAAGTGATTTTTATTCCTCCTGGAGGTTAATTTAGAATGGCTGGTTTTGTTCTCCTTCCCAAACTTGCTAGAAGTGATGTGGCACAGTTGTAGACTTTATGTAGAAAAAGTGAGTTGTAATGAATGAGGGTTATAGTTTGTGTGAAGATGAGAAAAACCCTCAAAGGGTGGAACATTCCAATGCAGGTTGGGGTGAGGATTGAATGGACTGAAACTGTCCATTCTGATGCCCCTGCCTCACTCCCAATGCTGGGAAGGATTTTGCACCTAAGACTTACTGTAGAGCAGGATGGTGTTTTCTGGTAATATTTTAAAGATGAAGGCTGGGGGCAAACAGTAGCAGGTGGTGGGTTTTGCTTTGTTCCTGAGTATTTAGGTCCAGGTATTAGCGTCTCAGTGCCAGGGTGCTGCAAACCGTTAAGGCACTGAGCACCTAACTAAAAGATTTGCAGTTCAAGTCCACCCAAAAGTGCCTTGAAAGAAACACCTGGTAATCCACTTCTGAAATACCAGTCAATGGAAACTCTATGGAATCTATTTCTACTCTGACACACATGGGGTTGGCATGAGTCAGAATCTACTTGAGAGCAACTGGTTTTATTTCATTATGGTCTCTGTCCTGCTGAAGGGGTAAAATGGGACAGCTGGAAGGGCTGGTAGCAAGGCAGACTGGTAGTGCCCTGGGTTACCAGGAGACTGACTCTCCACAGCCATACAGGATTCAAAGACAGTTGCCTTTTTATTTCTTCAGAAATCCTTTCCGTTTAGAAAACTGGGTTTGCAAAACCTGCATTAGCTCTAATAATAGGATGTTTTAATAAGTTTAAAAAGGGACAGGGAAGCAAGGTATTTTGATTTGCTGTTTTATTTAGTTCTGAGTTGCAATCCATCCTCACTTTCAGCTATTGCAAGTATATTAAAATCTGGGGTTTGGGAAAGAGGAGCTGCAAGCGTTGGGTGGTGACCAGATAGCAGAGAGGGAAAGAAACTGGCAGCACAGCCATCAGGAGTGGGCAGGGGCCGTTTTCTGAGTTTTTAAAGGGCAAGACCTTTCTCTGAGTGAAACCAAGAGAAGTGTTGGAATGGCAAAATGAGCCCAAGCCAGTTCTAACCCTACCCCAGCTACTACTTACATGTTCCAACTTGGACCTGCCACAACTCCTCTCTGAGACTCATTTACCCAATGATGAAATTGAGGGTCTGTGCTAAAACGGCCTCTTAAGGCTTGGGCTTTCTCCTCTGCTCAGTGCCTGGGCAGAAACATGAGTGGGAAATGCTAATTGGTCTTTCATAGGCTGCAAGTTTTATCATTGTCTCTCATGTAGGAGTGCTTAGCACTAGGATAAGGAACCCTGGTGGTGCCGTGGGTTAGGTGTTGGGCTGCTAACCAGAAAGTTGTTGGTTCAAACCCCCCAGTTACTCTAAAAGGGAAAGATGAGGCTATCTGCACCCATAAAGATTTACAGTCTTGGAAACCCTAAGGAACAATTCTGTTCTGTCTTATGTTGTTGTTAAGTGTTGTAGAGTCAGTTCTGACCCATAGTAACCTTGCATAGGGTTTCCGAGGAGCCGCTGGTGAGTTTGAACTGCCAACGTTTAGGTTCAAATGAGTTTGCAGTCCAGCACATTAGCTATGCCAGGACTCTGTCATATAGGATCCCTATAAGTCAGAATAGATTCAATAGCCGTTGGTTTGGGATTTGGGATTAGCACTAGGGTAAACACTGTGTTGTTGTTGTTAAGTGCTATTGAGTTGATCCTTCTGACTCACAGTAACCTTGTATAGGGTTTTCAAGGAGTGGTTAGTGGATTTGAACCTCTGACCTTGTGGTTAGCAGTCCTGTGCTTATCCTACAGTGCCATACCAGGGGAACACTAAAAGGAGTTTTGTTATGTGCTGTAAAGTCAATTCTGACTCATAACGACCCTGTATAGGATTTCCAAGGATCAGCTGGTGAGTTTGAACTGCCAACCTTGTGGTTAGCAGTTCAGTGCTGGTCCTACAGCGCCACACCAGGACTAATAATTGCCTCTACCAGTTTCTTTCCATTTGATCTCGACTCATGGTGAACCTCATGTGTGTCAGAATAGAACTGAACTCCACAGCATTTTCCATAGCTGATTTTTCTAAAGTGGATCACCCGGCCTTTCTTTTAAGGTGCCTTTGAGTGGACTCAGATCTTTAGGTTAGCAGCCATGTGCATTAACCGCGTGCACCACCCAGAGCTTCTAGCAGTTGCCCTCAAAGTTGTTCACAATTCATCCAGGGAAATAATGTAGACAAGAAGGAAAGACAGGCCACAACTGGAAGTATTTCCAGGGTCCCAGTCATGTGATTTACACTCATATGATGCTCAAACCACTTTGTATATTCTAAATCTTTTAATTAGCACAACAATCTAATGTTATCCTCATTTTACAGCTGAGGAAACTGAGTCACAGAGAGCCTAAGTAAGTTGACTAAAGTCACGCAACAGGTAATTGGCAGAACCAGGATTTGAATGTAGGCTGTCTGGCTCCAGGGTTCTTACTCGTATCTATCACAGTCTACTCTTTCTCTAAATAAAATGTAGAGACCAAAAGAGTTTCCAGAGTGCAGAAGGGAGAGACATGAGAGAGCTGGAGTTATCTGGAAGGCTTCTTGGATGAGGGGAACTGAATTTTGTTAAGGGTGCTGGGTAGAACTTGAGCTGAGAAAAGAGTGGATAGTATCCTTGCCAGGGGAGAAGCACAAGCAGAGACAGAGGCAGAGGGCATTGTGGTTCAGACTTGGCTTATAGAAATGCCCAGGTAGTTCAGGGGGAGCTCAAGTTCTACCTCTCAATATGGAAGAGTCCTGTCCTTAAGGGTAACAGTTCATTCAAAGGACAGCAGTAGAGGTACCTGATTTTTTAGCTTTTTAGTAGCATCTGGCAAGGAACTTAACACCACCCCTCTCTCATCCCTGGAGAATTTCATAGAGTGAGACCACTTGGTCACCTTCAGCATTCTCACCCCAGTCCCTGTTCCTGTGGACCCAAAACTGTGCTGCCTCAGAATAAGTTTCTGCCTTTGTGTGTCACTTTCTCTTTTGGTATTCAAGAATCCTCCTACTGCCTTTTTCCTGATGGGTCCCACGGTCCCTGCAGACAGAATCCTGAATGACTGGTCTTAAATACATGGAGTTTTCACACCAGGTTGGAGGATGAGGGACAAGGAGATTGCAGTGAGGGTGCCTTACTATGAATCCTAGGCTGCTGAATTGGCCCTTCACTCTGCAGGAGAAACTGCTGGTTTCAAACCTAAAGCACACAATATTTCAGGGAGGTTGCTCCTCTTTTTTAAAACTCTCTTTACACAGTACTGTCCATCCATGGGACACACAAGAGGAACCAGTGTCACTTGACAATAAAAGCTGTGAACCAGAGGAACTGTCATCCCTGAAGCTATGGGTTCCTAAGCCAGAGAGGACTCTTACCTGCTTTGTGTCTGGGTCCCATGGCTGGCACATTTGTTGTTGTTGTTGTTGTTGTTGTTAAGTGCCACCGAGTCAGTTCCAACCCTATGGGGTTTCCAAGGAGCAGTTGGTGAGCTTGAACCATCGACCTTGTGGTTCAAACTGACTTTGCAGTCCAGCTCATTAACCCACAGCACCACACCAGGACTTCAGACATCAATTCATGTTGGCTGAACTAAACTGAAATAGAGGACACCACCAACTAGCTTAGTCCCTTTTGTGGTTCAAGTCTTGGCTCATGAAAATGGTCTGCTCTCCTATGGTACAAAGACCTGCTCATGGGGGTGTCTTTCAGGTGACAGCCTAGGCCTGGGAGCTGCCTACCTGCTCCGTGAGGGCAAAAGCTCCTTTAACCCACACAGGAGGGTGCTCCCAGGAGTTCATTCATTCAGCAGCCTCTTCAGTGGGAGGTTGGGAAGCAGTGGATGGTAGTTCAGGAAAGGCAGAGTTTAAGAGCTCAATGCCTTTCATCTCATCATCTTGCTAGTTATCAGTACTGCTTGCCATTGAGTCGACTCCATGTGTGTCAGAATAGAACTGTGATCCACAAGGTTTTCAATGTTGATTTTTCAGACGTAGATAACCAGGCCTTTCTTCTGAGGAAACGTTGGGTGGGTGGAAATGGTCAAACTTTCAGTTAACCATTTGTACCACCCAGGGACTTCCCTACCTTGCGAGGGGTGGCTGCTTTTCCTGAATCAGATCCTGCCTGAGCAACTAGACACAAAACTTTGTAATTGGGTTTTTGTCAGGGATTTGCCACTTTATAACCTAAGTGACCCCTTGTCTCTTTCTGTCCCTCAGGATCACACCTCGACACCCAACCCCTGAACTCCACACACTCTGCCATGCACACAGGAGGAGAGCTGTACCGGAGGACGACTGAAGTGGTGCACATGTTCCTTTAGGTTCACGGCATGAGCTCAGTAAGAGACTTCCTTTAGTCTCCTATTCGCATGAATGACAGGCTGTAGAAGCATGACCTACAGTCCTCTCAATCCTGCCTCTAGTGACGGATCTCTGTCGGAATCAGGACAAAAGCAGCAAGAAGGGAGAGAGAGAGAAAAGAAAAAGAAAACAAGTGCAAAGAGAGAGCGAGAACGCAAATGTGAATAAGGGCTCTTTGTGGCTGGGGATGGTATTTCTTTTTAAATCATTTTCTTTTTAACCTCGAACAGGGTAGTTTTCTTCCAACCTCATCTGTAAGAAATCCATGTGGGTTTTCTGTAAAGGAAAAAAAAAAAGGAAACTGGACATGAAATTATTTCAGCACCTTAATCCCATGTCCTTATCTGGCAGCCTTCCCCATCCACTCACACATCTCCATTCCATTTGTGACTGTCCCCTTCCACTCCCCAGTGGGACCGCTCCTCCCAGAATGCGCTACATGACATTCAGGACTCACACACACATGTTCACCTCTCCCCTCCACTCAGTATACACACAGATTTTACTGTGATATCTGAAGCTGTATAGAATCTCCTGTGGATAAACTGGAATTTTTTTTACGTTGTCTCTCTCGCTCCCTCTCTCTTTCTCTCTCTCTGCCAGTTTCAGTATTAATCATCTTCCAATGGAAAATCATTACCTTTAGAGTGCATTCAGGGTTCCTTGTGCTCGGGACTTAAGAATCTGAGGCAAGGACCCCAAGGCTTAGCTGTAGAGTTCAAAGGGAGCCAGCACCCCATCTGAAAGGGTCTTCTCTCTCAGTTGGTGGAAGGCCGTGGCTGTCCCAGGATTGCACCAGCATGTTCAATAGAGAAGAGGTTTTCTATATCTTCAAGCACTTATATCATAGTCTGTGTTCAAAGTGTAAACTGTACAGTAATCAGCCTTGTGTATATGAAAAACAATAAATACTATGCAAACCAATAGAAACACTTTAGCAGTATGTACAAAGCACTAACAGCTCAGCTCCTGAGGACTTCTCCAGGCTGCAGGAGAAGGAGCTACAGCCTGTCCTTTCAGTGAAAGAAGAAAGAAGGGAGTAGGGTTAGTGAATGTATCTGCCAGTTCTTAGAAGTCAACGACAATCCTGAGGTCTCCTAGAGCAAGCTTGGTGCTCTAACTCCAGGTAGTTGGCAGGTTGGACGGGTCGTGAGTGCACAGCCTCAGTGCCCCACTCTGGCTGACCACGCCCCTCTCGCCCCACCTGGAGAGGCAGAGTGAGGGGACCACTCCTGACCATATCCCCAGGGAAAGGAGAGCAGGAGAAGAAGAGAGCTACTGATGACCAACATGCCCGGAGTTAGGAAGGAGACCCTCCTAGGCCAGGCTCCAGGTCCGGGCAGAAAGGAGCTCGCCTTGGTGCCATCAGGGAAGAGCCTTAAAGTTACACTAGCGCCTCTGGCCAAGGAAGGCCCAAATCAGCACAATGCGCCCCCGCTCTCTGCGGCGGCGCCCTCTAGGGCCAGGAGAGTGACTGTGGCAGGCTCTTCTCGCTTTCAAAAGAGCTGCTGTTTCTGAATGTCCTGTCACCTTCCTTCTCTGCCGGTCGTCTGAGGTGTCCTCGAGATAACATTTAAACCTTCCAAGTAGCACAGAGTTCCCTCAGTGTCAGAGGCCCCAAGGCCGTGGTGCCAGTGACCACACCCAAAGATTTCCCTGTGGAGCGGGGACAGCCGGCCCTTCCGCCGCAGGCCCCTAGCCCGCCAGTCCCGTCCCCTCGGTGCCCTCCCCAGGCCGAGTGAGGACGGCACCTGGGGGCTGCGGAGCCGCCGGCCGCCCTGCCCGGGCCGCCCAGATACGGCACGGTCTGCGCCTTGAGCCCGCCAGAATCCAGCGCCCCCGACCAATGTGTTTTCGTGTGTTCCCGGCGGGTTTTGCTTTTGCTTTCTTAAAGGAGTTGGGAGGGGAGAAGACGTTCAAATGTGTGGCCAGCATTCTCCCTGAAGACTGTCAGAAGAGACCTAGTCTCTGGGTCTCCTCCTCTGAGGCTGTACACGTCAGAGTGCTTCTTTCCAAGTGGGCGCTGTCGCCCTTGCAGAGAGGCTCGATCTGGGTCGGCTGTGGCGTGGCGCGAGGGAAGAGAGGGCCTGCTTGTCCCCAAAGCACCCTCTCCCCGGCTGTGCCCCTCGCCTGGGGGACGACGCCACCCACAATGCTGCGGGCTCGGGAGTCGATCGGGTCTCCGCTGTCGCCCCGCCACCCGACTGGCTCCCGAGCCCTGCGTCCCTTTCCGGGCGGCGGCGGGCTAGGGCAGGCGGCGCGTGGGGCTGAGTTGGGTGAAGGCCCAAGGAAGCCAGGAGCAGGGCTCGCCTCTCCCGCCTCAATTCTGTACTCCCTCTCCCGGGTCGCTGCTGCAGCCGAACCCAGTAGCCCCTCTTAGCACCCCGCGTGGGTCCCGCGGCTCAGGCTGTGCTTTGGCACCTTCCGCTCTGTCTGGCATGGCTGCTTGGCCCGCCGGCCCCAGGCCCTCGGCGGCATGGCTGCACGCTCCAGTTGCTAGTAGGAGCTGTTAGGGGAGGAGTTTGGGGTCTCCACCTGATGCCTAGAGAATGCTGCAGTCTGCACATTAGACGCTTTTTAGAAGTTTTGAAATTACCTTGATTTTTTAAAAAATGTTATGAAAATGAACCTTTTCTTGACTCTCCCACATGCTCTGTTACGGGGAGAGAACTCCCCACCACCCCCACTCTGATGTATAGACCATTTTCCCTACACCAGCTGAACAAATGTCAAAATTAATAAAGAAATTGACTCATGGCAGAAGGCTCCATCTCTCCTTCCTGGCTGTTCTTTGGGGGTGTTGAGCACTCCCTGAAACAATGTCTGGCCACTGAACTCAATGCCAGTCACTAATTCAAGAAAGTGCCCTACTATGGGGAGGAATTTGAGTTCTTGGATGGTGTGAATGGTTGTGTTGAAAGGTTAGTACCTCAGAAAACAGGTCTGGTGATTGGCTTCCAAAAGTTCACAGTCTTGAGAAGCCTACAGAGCAGTTCTACCCTGCACACATGGGATCCCCACAAATTGGAATCAACACACCAGTAACTAACAACAACATGGAAAGAAGAGGGTTCTGTTCATAACTAGCAGTGACACTTTGTGCAAAGCTAACTCACCTTGGTTTCCCCAGCTGGCAAATGAGGGAAAGGAGTGAACAGTTGCTTAAAATATCTTCCAGTTTGGTTATCCTGGGATTCGCAAACATGAATGCCTGTCTTAGGCTTGGGATAAAGAATCAAATTGTTTGCTGAAACTTTTTTTTCCTCATAAATGCCCATCTTAGGAGGTGTCCAAATCAAAGCCACAGGGTCCTAGGAGCACTCATAATGCCCACCCCTCTCCAAATTTCTCTCAGAGTCTGAGAGGCCACCCAGACCAGTGGGCCAATCATAGCTGTATCTATGTACATAGCATCACCGAAAGGATTTTTTTAAAGCAAAGATTTACAATCTGAATTGCCTGGAGTGCTTGGCTGGTGGGGGAAGAGGGGGACCACATGAGGAACGAGAATTAAATTTTTCAGAGTTGTGATATGCTATCTGGTAGCAATGCCAAGTCAGATATATAAGAACCTTTTTGTTGTTGCTGTTTTTCTACAAAAAAAAAAAATTCCACGGCCTTTGAGAGGTCTTCTTACAATTTTCCTTGAATCAACCTAAGCCATTTATACCACGGGGGGAGGGGGTGGTTTACAGATGAAAGCAGAATGGGAAAGTCAGGCTATGTGAGGGGGGACCCTCTCCCCACTGTAAACCACAGGGAAGCCCAGTGATGAAGGGTGTCTCTTGTCTCCCCCATCATAGCGCAGACCACAGTTAGTAAGGGAGCCAGCCTGACCAGGAAGAACTCTGAAGCTGCCAGTGAAGAGAAACAGAAATTCATCTGTCTGACAAAACTATTTTCCTGCCACTTTGCCTGTTCAGACCAGTGACATGCAGGTTTCCAGTTTTAGCAACCAACTCCAAGAAAGAATGCTGCCCAGATGTGTACAGAAACAACCTAAGTAACTAGAGTGCCAACTCTGATTCGTCTATACCTCAGTTTCCCTGTTTATACAGTGGAAAATTGCCCCCAGGTAGAGAGGCTTGTGTGTTGTCAAATTCATTAGGGGAAAGGAAAAGAACACATATGTGTGCTCTGTGATTTGTCCTGTCTAATCCCTCAAATCCATCAAAATATTTACTAAGCATCCATTAAATGCCCAACACTGGGATTCTTGGCTGAATCATCTGCCATCCAGCATCCAAGATTTCAAACTCAGGCACTAAAGCAGAAAGAATGGGGCACTTGCTGCAGCAAAGGCACAAATGATTCCTCTGTGGTGCCAAGGAGGAGGAGATGATTCTGACAGAGGGAATCAGAGAAGGCCCCCAGGGGTAGAGGCAGGAGCATGTGCACAGCCTCAGTGGGCAGGAAGGTGCACACGACTCGCCATGTTCAGAGTTCCTTCCTCCCTGGCCCCTGTGACAATCTTCCATCCTCAGGCTTTCAAGACAATCACAGGAATAGGCAGCCCCCACCCCCACTCCCAGCAGAAAGCAGGTGTTATCCAACCTTCCCACTTACCCCATCCCAGCGTCCCAGCATAGCACATCCAGGCATCCCTGCCAGGCATCCACACATAAAAGAGTCTGAACACCTCAGAAGGTCATTTACCTCTAAGGTTGGCCTCCTCTCCCTCAGGGCAGCAGCTGCAGGAACTCTGAGCTTCGAGAAACCTCCCAAACACCCACCTTTATCTAGATGTTGGTCTTGGGGGAACCAGGAGCAATGCACCCTCTGGTGATAAACTCTTTTCAGAGCTTATTTCTTTCTCTCTCTCTGTCTCTCTCTCTGTGTCTTTCTCTCTGTCTCTCTCTCTCTCTCTCTCTCTCTCTCTCTCTCTCTCTCTCTCTCTCTCTCACACACACACACACACACACACACACACATGAACTGGCTGATTTTACAGTCAATCTTTCAAAGTACAATTTGTCTAGGAAAGACCAATGTGAGGCCCGTGTGGGCTCCGACCAATGGCGGTGCAGCTCTCTCAGCTCAGCCAGTCTTGGGCCTGTATTCTAATGGACCATATCTTTATCAGGGAAATGTTGGTTCTCTGAACTTAAAACTTCTCATGGAGGGTCCCCAGACTCAGAGTCAGAGGAGGGGTCTGAGCTGAGGAGTGGGGAGCCACCCTTCTCCAGGCCAGGGCAGGGATAGCTGAAGCAGGATTGGTGAGGCCTCTCACCTGTCCTTGTGAGCACCTCCCTTCTGAGCAGCTGACGTGGGTGCCCAATCCCTGGGCAAAGACCGGGCCGGATGCTTCAGGTGGGAGGGTGGTCAGGGGCTCTGGGACCCATTTTGACCCTCTAAACATACCATGGGATTCTGGGCCACAGTGTGGGTTCTCAGGATTTAGGGGCCTGAATTTGGGCAGCCAGGGCCCTGCTGCCTTCTTTCTCCCTGTCTTGGGGATCATGGAGTCCAACCTGCAGGGGACATTCCTGTTGAACAACACATCGCTGGCTCAGTTCTCAGAGATGAAGTCTCCCATGTGCCAGTATTCGGTGCAGAACTCCTTCTACAAGCTCAGTCCTCCAGGCCTGGGCCCCCAGCTGGCTGCTGGGACACCTCACGGGATCACGGACATCTTGAGCAGGCCAGTGGCCACGCCAAACAGCAGCCTCCTCTCCAGCTACCCCCATGTGACAGGCTTTGGTGGACTTGGCTCCCAAGGGGTCTACTATGGCCCCCAGGTAGGGAATTTTTCCAAGGCTGGGAATGAGTACCCCACCCGGACCCGGAACTGCTGGGCGGACACCGGCCAGGACTGGCGAGGCGGACGACAGTGCAGCAACAGTGAGTACAGGGAAACCTTGGCTCCCACCCCACCCAGGCACCATGCAGTCTTGCGGGAGGAAAAGCGGGTGAGAGGGGACTCTTTCAGGGCAGTCTGCTCTGGCCACCCACCTCAGTCGCCATTAGACAGTCCAACTCAGGCACCCGGATCCACTTCTTTAGCTTAGTGCTAAACTGACTTCCTGCCCACTCCCATCCCAGCTTTGCTTGTCCTGATTCCTAGCCCCACCCCTTTCCAACTCCTGTCCTAGGGCACCTGGAAGACTCCAGGTCTGGTAAAAACTACACAGCCTATACCCTATGTAGGGTTCCAGCTGGTAGCTCTCCTTGCTTTTCCCACCATTTTCTTCACCTCAACCACCATCCAGTCCTCAGAATACAGGCAAATGCTATCCCCCAACCAAGAGAATTTGCCACTGGATTGCCTTCCCAAAGAGCCTACCCATGCCCTGACATCCTACAGAGATGAAGAATGCTCCCTGACCCCATCCTAACTCCAGCTGCAAGTGAGGGGGCCATTTCCCACTTCCTCCCCAGGCCTCACATCAACAGTAGCAACAACAACCCACCCAGCCCCCAGAGGCTGAACCCAGCTGCTGGTTATGGGGATAGGCATTCTCTACAGCCTACTACTCATCCTCAGGCCACATTGTAGCGAGCTGGTCCAGGGACAGGAGAAAGATGCAGAGCACATATAGCCAGATGGTAGGAGCCATCTGTGAGGCCCTGACACCCTGCCCAGGTCAGGTAAGGGGTAGGGGTGGAGGGACCCACTCCTGCTGATAGTCTGATCGCTGGGCTCCCCTGCAGTAGGGACTTGGGGCAGCCAAGGAAACCCTCAAAAGCACACCTACCTCCTCCTCTGCTTTTACTGCTCCTGACAGGCATTTTGCCAACAAATCAGTCCATCCTTCATGAGACAGGGAATGTCTGACGTGGGGCCACCGCCACAAACCTCTAGGACACATACCAAGGGGCAGCAGCCCTTAACCTCCCTGTAAAAATGTCTGACTCCTGTACTCAACACCATTCATAAATTCTAGTATGGCACTATAGGATCAGCACTTGACTGCTAACCACAAGGTTGGTGGTTCAAACCCACCAGCCACTCCTCAGAAACCCCATACAGGATCACTATGAGTCAGAACTGACTCCACAGCACTTAACAACAAAACAGTACCAACATGGAGGTGGGGGGAAAAGGAGTCTTGCTGGTACAGAGGTTCAAAGTACTCAGCTGCTAACCCAAAGGTCAGTAGTTTGAACCTCCGCGCCAGTCTGTGGGAGAAATATGTGTCAGTCTGCTTCTAGAAAGATTGTTGCTGTTGTTGTTATGTGCCGTGGAGTCGGTTCCAACTCACAGCGACCCTGTGCAGGGTTTCCATGGCTGTAAATCTTTACAGGAACAGAAAGCCTCGTCTTTCTCCCACGGAACAGCTGGTAGTTTCGAACTGCCAACCCAGAGGCTAGCAGCCCAATTCGTAACCACTACACTACCAGAGCTCCTTGGAAACCCTATGGGGCAGTTCTACTCTCTCCCGTAGGGGTCCTCTGAGTGAGAATTGGCTTCATGGCTTTGGGATGAGAGTTAAATGCGGAGGATGCAGACTTCAATTTTATAACCCCTGTTTCAGGGTGCTTTCTGATATGCCTCAAGCTCTCAGTCTTTTTCTCTCTCACCTTCATCTTCCCTCCCTCCACCCCAACACATACAACACAGACACACTTTCTCCTCCCCCATACTCGATAGTGGTGGGGGGGTGAACCTAGTGCTAATCCCAAATGCACATACACACACAGGGAAATATTTAAGAAAGTTAATGTCTGGATTAAGGTAAAGGAAGAGAAGACTGAGGCGGATGGTCTCTCAGGAGGTCTCCTCACCTTCTGCGCTTCAGTTCCCTCACCTATAACAGGACACACTGGGATGTGCCTTGAACAAGGTCTAACCCATGAGACCTGACACATGGGATTTCTGCTTCCTCTGAGTCCCCTGCTGTGTCCTCTTGAGTCCTCTGTGGGGTCAGGCTCTCCTGTATGGTCGCAGCCTCCTGGTGACATGGGAGAGCAGCAACTTGGGGCTAGAAGTTCACCCCTCCCTGCTTTTCCAGGAGACCTGGGAAGTTGGGACCTGAGAGTAAGGAAGTGAAAAGGAATTCATAGACCCCTAGGGTCCTGCTTGTGAGTGGGAGGTGACAATCCCTATCCTGGTCATCTAAAGGGAAGTCCCTGGGACAGAGACAAAACTTGGAAAGGGGAGCTACAACCGTAACTACAGAAACCACAAGCTGGAGAAGCACAAGACCTCTGGAGGATTCCAAGCCCCTCTATCCCTAGTAACTATAACCGGGACCAACAGGACCCTTCCTGATGTTCCTTCCTACTCAGACATGGCGGAGGTCACAGTCACTGTTACCAAAGGCCAGGAATGCCACAGTGCCCCAGGCAGCCTCATTGGCCTCTCTGTAGGATGGAGTGTCCTGTGGGAGAGACAAATCAGGGCTGGAACTTGGCAGGTGTGGCCCCTGGTCCGTCCCTCACCCTGCTCACCCATACCTCCTTCCTCCCGCCAGCACCAGACCCCCTGAGTGACAGCATCCACAAGAAAAAGCATACCCGGCCCACCTTCACAGGACACCAGATATTTGCTCTGGAGAAAACCTTTGAGCAAACCAAGTACTTGGCTGGTCCTGAGAGGGCACGGCTGGCATACTCTCTGGGGATGACCGAGTCCCAGGTGAAGGTGAGTCTGTGTGTGGGGAACCGGGATGCCGCTGCATAAAAGACAGTCACACAGCTCCTGGGAGAAAGGCTGTCTCAGTCTTGGAGGCATTGCATTTCCATCTAACTATCCTATTGTTATTAGGTGTGCCATCAAGTCAATTTTTGGCTCATAGCATTCTAGTGTCGTGGAGTAGAACTGTCTAATAGTATTTTCTAGGCTGGAATCTTTATGGGAGCAGATTGCTAAATTTTCTCCCATAGAGTCACTGGTGGATTTCCACCACCAACCTTTCTACTATCAGCCGAGTGCTGAACCACTGCACCACCACGCCTCCTTCCTAACTGGCTTAAAGATTGTAATTAACAGTAACAAAATACTGAGCCCCATTCTGAGAACCTCATACGTAGTACCACATTTAATCCTTGCAGCAAACTTGAGGTGTTTGTTGTTGTTGTTGTTGTTATGTGCTGTGGAGTCGGTTGCGACACTATACAGGGTTTCCGAGGCTGTAAATCTTTATGGGAGCAGGAAGCCTCATCTTTCTCCCGTGGAACAGCTGGTAGTTTTGAACAGTTGTCCCTGAGGTTTGCAGCCCGATTTGTAACCACTACGCTACCAGAGGTGTTTAGTGTTATCCATTTTACAACTGAGGAAACAATCCAAATTAAGCCTCTTGCTCAAGATCACCTAGCTGGTAAGTGACAGAGATGGGACTCAGACCCAGATCTGCAGGATTCTAAGTCTCATGCTTTCCCTGTGTGCATTGCCTCTGTCAGAAATTCCAAGAGCTGATGGCAGCCGCTGGGCTGGGTTATGAGTCTGGAGACCGGCTCAAATCTGTTCCTTAGCTACCCTTAGCTTGTTCTTATTGTTATCAGCTGCCTTCTAGTCAACCCTAACTCATGGTAATCCCATGCACAAAGAGATTGGAACTTTGTGACCCAGAGGTTTTCACTGGCTAGTTTTTGCTTTTGTTTTTGAGGGGATAGCCAGGCCTTTCTTCCTAGTCTGTCTTAGCCTGGAAACTGCTGAAATCTGTTCAGCCTCATAGCAGCATGCACACTTCCAGTGACAGATGCACTTTATGTACATTGACCAGAAATAGAACCAGGGCCTCCCACATGGGAGATGAGAATTCTATCACTGAAACACCAATGCCTTCCTATCCTTAGCTTACAATTTTTTAAATGAAGATAACACTTCTTGCTATCCATCATCATACAAGTGAAGACAGATGGGAGCCTCAGGCAAGTGTTGTTGTGAAGTAGATTCAAACTCATAGTGTTTTCCAAGGAGCGGTTGATGGATTTGAACCGCCAACCTTGTGGTTAGCAGTTCAGTATTTATCCTACAGCACCACACCAGGATTCCAGGTAAAGGTTGTTGTTGTTAGGTGCTGTCAAGTCAGTTCCACTCACAGCAACCTTATGCACACACACACACAAAATCAAAACACTGCCAGGTCCCGCGCCAACCTGACAATTGTTGCTACATGCTACACTTGAACCCATTGCTGCTGCCCCTGTGTCCATCCATCTTGGGGGTCTTCCTCTTTTTTCACTGACCCTCCACTTTACATAGCATGATGTCCTTCTCCAGGGACTGGTCCCTCCCGTTAATACGTCCAAAGCATGAGAGACGAAGTCTGGCCATCCTGCCTTCTAAGCAGGATTCTGGGTATACATCTTCCAACACAGATTTGTTTGTTCTTTTGGCAGTCCGTAGCACGTTTCATATTCTTCTCCAACACCATAACTCAAATGCATCAAATTTTCCTATAGTCTTCCTTATTCACTGTCCAATTTTCACATACATATGAAGCTGTTGAAAATACCAGGCAAGGGTTAGGGAGGCTAACCTCATGCTCTCACACTGCATACCACAGGAACTGAAAGCAGCTTCACCCACTCCTAATACTCCCTGGGAACAACTTTCCAACCTTGAAGCCAGAAGTGTCTGGAGAAACTTTGGGTGGGGAACACCAAAGGATAAAGCTTTGACCTAGGCCAGAACTGCCCTATTGTATGAAATAGCAACAGATTTAAGATTTAAGAGAAGTGCCCGATCCCAGGTGTGGGATCTGCTTATGGCTCTGACATCTGTAGTGGGCCTCTACTAGTAACTCTTCTGGAGTAAGAGCTGATGAATTAAATGGAAGGAAATGATGTGAATCCCCTTACATGTTCTAAGTGTTCTTGCACACTTTCCAACTATCTCAAGAAATGGGCATTTGGTGTTTTTATCTTTAGGAGGGAAATCATTCCTGAGTGTCTGTGAACTAGAAGAAGTGACTCTTTGAGCATGTACTGATGTGCCCTAATCTGGACTAGACCTTTCTGCCCTGCGGAGACCCACTATCTCCTATCCGTGTGCCCCAGATTGGGAGGGGAAAGGAGGGATACCACGCTGAAAGGGCTGCTGTACTCACAATACTAATTTTCGTTTTATTGCCCCTCTTTCTCCCAATGAGGTGAAATTACAGTCTACTATTTATCTATTTGTTTTAGTATGCTGTCGTAGTTAAGTGCTGTCGAGTTGCTTCTGACTGTATAGGGGTTCCGAGGCTGTAAATGTTCTCGGAGCGGTTGGTGGGCTCAAACCGCCAACCTTGTGGTTCGAAGTCCAGAACTTAACCTACGGCGCCACCGCGCTCCCATTGTTTTAGTGTAAATTCCCTTCTTTCACGTTTTTGTACGTGCCATCGAGAGGAGTCTCCTGCTACACAAGGGGCCCTGCGTGTGCTGGGATTCCCCAGGCTCTATGGGCCATTGGATCCCAGGCTCTATGGGCCATTGGATCCTCAGAGTCTTTCCTCATCCCAGGTGTGGTTCCAGAACCGAAGGACCAAGTGGCGGAAGAAGAGTGCCCTGGAACCTTCGTCCTCCACGCCCCGGGCGCCGGGCAGTGCGGGCGGGGAGCGCGCGGCCTCCGAGACCGAGGACGACGAGTACAACAAGCCGCTGGACCCCGACTCAGACGACGAGAAGATCCGACTGCTGCTCCGCAAGCACCGCGCCGCCTTCTCCGTGCTCAGCCTGGGCGCGCACAGCGTCTGACTGCCCGGCCGTCCGCCCCGCAGGCCCGCTCCCTCTCCCGCAGCTGGCCGCCGGGTCCCCAGTCCCGTCTTCCCCATCTCTGCGAAGTCCTAACAGCGGCCCTATGAGACCAGGGACGCTACCTTCCCCACGCTGCTGTGGGAGTAGGGGGCTGAGTCCAGCAAACCCGGCCAAGTGGGGGTGAGGTGGGTGGGGAAGAGGAAGTGGTGGAAGGAAAAGAAGAGGGAGGAGGCTACTCCAGCTGAGGGAAGAGAGAGCGAAGAGAAAGACCTGGGAACTCAGAAACTTCTATGCCACCTTGCATCTGTGGGCAGAAGCTTTCGCTGCTGATTCCGCAGGTTCCTAAATACACAGGCTCTGATGAAGAAAACAACGGGGGATGGAATTCCCAGATACACTTCTCATTCTTTAGGGACCAGAGCCCAAAAGCATAGCCCAGGCTGGAGGAAACCCACCTCAGGGAAGAGAAGTGGGCCCCAATTAAGAAGCATTCCTGACCCTTAGCTCAAGGATTTTACCGTCTAAGCAGCAGAAGTCCTCTGTGATCTCCTTTCTCCACTTTCCCCTAAAAAGATCCCCTGGCAGGACCCCACAAGCCAGAAAAGGTGACGCTGCAGGAGAAGAGAAATTTAAGATGAGAGCATCCTAGGGGTTGGTATGGACCTGACAGCTCCTCCACCTGGACTCCCTGCTTCGCTAATGCAAGCACAAGGTCACTGGGGAGAAAGGGACCCCAGAAATATCTGCTCCTCTTCCAAATGGGGTGCCTATGGCAGGAAGGGAGAACCCCCTGAGGCTAGGAGATTCCCCACAGGGCAGGGAAAGGGGCTGAACCAAGGGCCTTTTTTCCTTGGATCACCACACAGCCTGGCACTCCCAGGTCTGGTGCTGGGGGAGGGCATGGACCAGGGTGGTGGTATTTTTTCAAAGCTGATTCCCAGCTACCCGCAAGTGGGAGGGAACAGGGATAGGGGAGGCGGGTGGGAGGCTAGCCACAGGGAAGTACAGCCCAAAAGGGACCGAGCATTTGCCCATCTTCAATGGCTTTAAAAAATAAAGAGTAAAAAATAAAAGTCCCAGAAACAACCTCATGGCTCATGTGCTTCTGTGAAGGAATGAGTCACAGGAAATTGGCTATGGGGTCCCAGACATGGTGATGGTGATGCAGCTGTGGAGGCCCTGGCCAGAGGGCAGAAGTCTCTGGGGGGTGGGGTTCTGAGAGTCTAGAGACCTGCTGGTTGTCTTCATGTGTGGCGCTCTGCTGCTGACCTTGAAGACAGTGCTCTATGAGGCAGGCTGAGGGGACACCCAGTAGCTGGGAGGCCCAGGAAATGAGATCAGTGACTAGTAGAGGGACTCTCATCTGTGAAAGGGATTGAAAGGGGCACTCAGTCTACCTTAGAGGAAGACTTGGAGACAGTGGATCATTCAGAAAACAACAATTCCTTTTATACTTATAATAAAGCTTTTTATTTCCCTAATGAAAGTGTCTGCCATTGTCTGCATGGCACTGGTCCATTTGAAATCTTCTCTCCTGGAATATGCTAGACACTGACCTAGGTGCTGGAAAACCTGAGAAGAATTTCATGGGTCTTGCATTCTCCAGGAATTCACAGCCTAGTGGAGATGATTATGTTTAGAGAATTGAGTACTACAGGAAAAGATAATGGGGAAAGAATAGAAGAACTAACATTAATTGAACACCTACTAATTTCCCCCACATTGATTGTCTCATTTGACCTCACAATAACTCTGCTTTTGTTGTTTGTTGCCATCAAGTCAATTTTGACTCATAGTGACCCTTTATATTACTGCATACAACTGCTCCATAGGATTTTCTTGTTAGTAATTACAACAAAAACAGATTCTCAGTCCTTTTCTTCAGCAGTGCTATTAGATGGGTTCAAACTGCTAACCTTCTGGTTAACAGTCGAGTACAAACTGTTTGCACCACCCAATTATGTTGTGTGCTATTGAGTCAATTCCAACTTACAGTGATCCCAGCTCCTTTCAATAACCCTGTTGTTGTTGTTGCTGTTGTTGTAGTTAAGTGACATTGAGTCTGTATAGGGTTTCCAAGGAGTAGCTGGTGAGTTTGAACTACTGAAGGTAGATATTATTCTCATTTAATGAATGACAAAACTGAGGCTCAGAAAGCACCTAAACCAAGGGACAGAAGTGGAAGAGGCAAAGTCAGAGCTGGTTCCAAGATCCTCACTTTTGCTTTCCTGATGGCACTCAGAAACCTCTTCTGTAAACTGAAAACCTTGTACATCTAGTACTTTAGAGGCCCTTCCAATTTTAACAAGCCATCCAAACACCAACAAGGCTTCAAGTAACTATAAACACCAGGCTGGTCCCTTGGGCCTCCAGGAACAGGAGAATTTGGTTGGTAGCCTCAGCCAAGAGACAGAACGAGGGGAGGAGGAAGACTCTGGCTGGGCACCTCTTAGAAACTGAGGCTCCAACCTTTTATAAAGATCTTCACTGAACAGAAGACAGAGGGACATATGACAAGAAAATGTAGAATGGTCTCAAGCAATGATCCTTTATCTGCAATCATGCCCCACACTCAGGGCCTGAGTTGATCTCTTTATACATAAACTGGGAAGGCAATAAGAAGGCAGCTACGAAGAGTCTTTCTTCTAAGAGCAACTTCAGAAAGCTCCTGGTCATGCTCCTGAACTGGCCACAGAATATACTGAGGCGTCTGCCCCTGAGGGAGTGTTGTTGCAGGAGGCAGAACACAAACCAGGAGGACCAGAGGATCTATCTAGCACAGACCACCAAGATGAAGACCTTCCATGGATTTAGGGAGCCACCTGATGCATTGTATTTACTGTGCCTGGGAAGACAGTCTGAAACCTGCAGGCAGGGAGGTTGCTGACATAATCCACATGGAAAGTCATGAAGGGGATGAGGAGGGAGACGCCAGTCCAAAACAAAATGTACTAGCTTGTGTTATTTTTCCCCCTTACATATTTTATAATCTTAACTGCTCAACTATCACTACAATTCTTTTTTCTTTTTTTTTTTTTAACTTTTATTTCCTGTTGAGTAAGTGAAGGCTCACAGGGCAGATCACCAGCAAATCATTCTAATATTATAATCAGAAAATCATTATATTACAATCCCCTCCACGCACCCTTAGCCAACAGTATTTACCTGTATTACCTTTTTTCTTTTTTTTTTGATATACATATATTGTTGTGGTTGTTGAATGCGTCATATACCACATTGAAAATATATATTTGTTTAAATGTCCAAAGGGCACATTTTTCAAGCCAGCCTCCTGCCCACAGGCACACTGCTTTTCTCAGTTCATGGGCCTAGAGTCCTCAGCTGCTCTGTCTCTCATGGCCATCACCTCCACCTCCATCTCTGATGTTGCTGCTTTTCTACCTCGCTCCTCTCATGTTCCTCCCTCTTGATGGTCCTAGGGCCCTCTGTTCCTGAAGTGACAGATGAACTGCTCCCCCACCGCCTTTTAGTTGCATCTCTTCTGTATTTACAGTTGTGACAATGCCATTAGTCCTGAAAACAATTACTCACAACTGAATCATAAAATCCTATTCCCATCATCACCAGAGTCATCTGGACTAGAAGAAACCTATTTAGTAGAGTTTCTGTCTTACTCCCCTCATTCTGATACTAAGCACCCTCATGAAAGTTTGTAAGCCAGCCACTTAGGGCCTTTGTTGTTAAGTCCCTTCGAGTCAGTTCTGACCCATAGCCACGCTGTATAAGGTTTCCAAGGAGCGGCTGGTGAGCTTGAACTGCCAACCTTGTGGTTCAAACCAACTTTGATTAACCCACAGATTAACCCACAGCACCACACCAGGACTCTTCATAGTCGAAGTCTAAATTGCCTGTCCCTATCAACCCAGTACACTGGGGAGACATGCTTGATCCTTGATATGCATATTTCTTTATCTTCATCTGGTTGAATTATGGTCGGCAAGCCATCCAAATTAGGCTAAATGGGTACTGTCTGCAAGTCTGGGAGTTCTTGCATGCCTCCCCCCTCTTCACATCAGCTGGCTGCTTCATTCTTAACTCTAGCCCCCAGTGGCTAGGTCAGTGTCACTATAATTCTTGCATGCCTGATTCACATCGTTTGGGGTCAGTATTAAATCAAGGTTGGGGAGCGTCTCTCCTGGGAAACATTTGCTGAGCTAAACAAAACCTCTTCGAATCTCAAAGTTCTGGGACACCAGCCACTAGAACATTTGGCCAAGATTTCAGCCTTCCCAGCAGTCCCTTGAACTCCACTCCTGCCTTCTCCACTCTGTGGTCTGAGCATAAAGGTCAAGTGAAGGAGAGGCACTGACCTGCTCCACTCATTATTGTGCTTGTTGTTGTTGTTGTTAAGTGCTATGGAGTCCATTCCAACCCTGTATAGGTTTCCTAGGAGCAGCTGGTGAGCTTGAACCATTGACCTTGTGCTTCAAATTGACTTTGCAGTCCAGTGCATTAACCCACAGCACATTCCTATTCAAAAGACAAGGCTTGGTATGTGAATAAGAAGAGTGGAAAGTGAATGCTCCAGATTGCTGAGGATAATTTGGAATAAGTCTTGCTCTTAACAAGACGTGTGTGTGTGTGTGTGTGTGTGTGTTTTGCTGGAAAGATTACAATGCTATCTTGCTTTAGCATCTATTGTAAAGATAAGCCATGGTTCCTATAACTACCCTGGCCTGTTTTGTATTTAATTGTGTGTTCCCCCAGATACCTACAAATATGAATCCTAATCTCTATACCTGTGGATGAAATCCCATTTGGGAATGGGGTTTTTTTTGTTATCATAATGATACCACAGTAATATAGGTTATGTCTCAAGTCTCATCACTTCAGGTTCTCCCAGCAAGCACTCAGTCCACTTCTATAACCTTGTCTCTGAAGTTCAGGGTTCCCAAATTCTCACCTGTATTGGTTTTATTCATTCTCTCATATCTTTGTTGTAGAGTCTGTGTAGTATGTCTTCCGTGTCTACCATCTTG